TGGGAAATTAGGAAATATCTCATATGGTGACTCAAGAATTCGAAAATGTCATTGAAGTTTAAACGCTCTTCTGATTACCGAGACGTAACAGATTTCTTTGAACACATCAAAGCTTGAAGAAATATGTTTTTGGGAGTGATAAAGCGTCACGTACGGCATGAACGCTGTGTTTCTATACTCCCATCCTTCTTGAAACTGAGCTGCTACAACTTTCATGGTACCCTAAATAACTCAACCGCTGTTTAATTTTCAGCAAATCACATGACAAAATCCGATGGTTTCTGTCGATGCTACATTTTAACAGAACTTAAAATTCGGCGATATGGTGCATAGCTATCGGAAATTTTCAGTACAAAACAATGCTCTCACAAGGCATTCACAATCGCCCATCATGTCTCGGTCGTTCTTATGAATTGGCGTTCATAACTTTCCCACTAACTACATTTATTCATGGAAAATGCAAGGTCCAACGTATCGAGACGTCTGCATTTATCTTGACAACATTGGGAGCATCGGTTTGCTGCCGGAAGTGAGGTAACCAATCTGCAGTCGTACATTTCTTTGTGGATGCTGTGACATTGTGTGTGCGTATGCATACACTAACCTGTTGTTGACTCGATCAATTATGACTCCCAAGAACCTGTGACTCCAGCTGGATGACACGAAGTGCACATTAATTGATTTGCCGTAAACGTACATTGGCTCTCTGGTGAATGCCACGGCTGCACACTGCACTTAAGATCTCGAGCCCTCGTTTACATAGACAGTGCGATGTCACTGATGCTGCCTTCTGAAGTCGAGCACGAAGTTGAAGTCGAGTCACACCTGACGTTCATACAGGTGTCATAACTCATCAGCATAAATGGAAAGTCGTATGCTACTAGGCTGCTTGCCAACTATAATCCAATGAGTGCTAAGTTGAAGAACGTCAGGCTTAGCACACCGCCTTGCGGGACTCCTAGGCTAGCGAAATACTCGGGTGTTGGGTCATTCTCTGTCCGCACGTGAAACGATCTATTCTGTAAGTAGCTATGAACCCATACGAAGACCTTTCCACCGATTCCTACTTCTAATGCGCTGAGGATGGCTTCGTGGGTGGCATTGTCGACAGCGCCTTAAACGTCAAGAAACAGAGCAGCGCACACTCTGCAGCAGCTAACCAGAGTAGTCAAAATTACCCCAGAACCGTAAATAAACCATGTCGCTAATTACGTTTCCATAACTTTGTGTTGCGGCTGGCAGGAAGTAATGAAGTTGCCTTTAATTTATCTTAACGAATGTTCACGCACAACTCATGTATTTATACGCTTGATTTACGACACCTATAGGTTGAGTACCATACACATTTGTTCGACTTATCGCGCTTAAAGTTAGCTACTCAGACTAACTTGTGTGAGTGGCCAACTTGGAGAACTATAGACCTTTTTCAGTCATATTTTTTTTTTACCATAATATGGCATTTTGCTATATTTTGGTCAAAGGTAACGAGAAGTTTTCTTTAAAATGGTCGCTTGAAGTAATTAATCATTTTACTTCGCAAGCCACCAAAAGTAGTTCATTACACTCTTCATTACAGGCAAGAATATTTTGATTAGCGCCATTTTCATTACTGCAAAGTCTCGAGTTAACTAGAACCGCTGGTACGAGTATCGTGAGAACTAATATTGGGCGACCCATTCACGCCAACAAAGTATTTCGTTTATAGGTGCGCGTTGTGTTTTTCGGAACAAAAGTGCACTACAACAGTACTGCGGCAAGTCCACTGCGGAACTTGGAGCAATACTGGCATCTGTGAGAGCCAACTCACCTTGCCCGGAGTGCGTGATCCGCTGTAATTCGGAAATGGGGCACAGCGCACTCGCGTGGGAGCGGCATCACGCGTGAATGCAGATATCTTGCGATTTTCCTTCTTTCCCGATGCTATTAATATGTGGAATGAATTGCGGAATGATATGGTGTAAAAAAGAACTTCGAGTGATTTTGAGGTTGCTCTTGATAGGCATATTGTTGAAAATGTATAGTTTTTTTATTTATTTATTAATACTGTAACCCTCACTTGACGGTCATTACAGGGAGGATGTATGTGTTCATGTATGTGTTTCCTTACAAATGTTTCATCGGTCATAGATATCGTGTTGTAAATGTATTGAGTGAAAAAGCATGTGTGTTTCTCATATAATTATGCTATATGTTACTGAGTTCATCTTACAATTTCTTTTCGAATATTTAATTCTGTGCAGCTCAATTCTTCACCCTCCCTGTAACGACCCCAAGTAAGGGTTAACAGTATGACAAATAAATAAAATAAATAAATAAAATAAAATAATAATTGTTGGTGTTTCACGTCGCAGAACCCGAGTATATATGCAAGAACCGTTCGCTACGGGGCACGCATTGCGGCCAGGTTTTGTCAAGAAAATAGGGGGTTTTCGAATAGCGTACCGCAAAGCTTTGCGTTGCGGCCGCTGCCACTGCGCACGCACCATAACACGAACCGCCGTTCGCGTTTGCGGTCCGCCTCGAAAAAAAAATCCAGAATAGAATGCGACCCACAAAGCCCTTTTTTTGCGGGAAGCGAGCGTTCTGCGAGCGTGTGTTAGCGTTTGCCAGCGCAAACGCTATTTGACGGCTTATATGTCACATATACGTCACAAACATGTCCCAAACGCCCGCTAACTTTGCGGTGCGCTATTCCTAAAACTTTCTAATGATAGCGGCTGCGGACGGCGTCAGCGTTCACAGCCACTGCGCTTGCCTGAAGTGTTATTCAGACTGCGCTGTATACACATCTTCCGTAGTTTCGTGTAAACATTATGACATGTTATGTTTTAAACTGCCGGTGTAGCTCCTGTTTTGCGTTTAGCACTCATGGCGATTTTCTCGCAGGGGAGCATTTTCGCATACGTATGCATACATTCATGCATTCAAAATGCAAGTACAAACCTCCAGGTTTCAACAGCGAATGCCGTTTAAGCCGGTCTTAATGTGTCGACCTCGCCACTGTCATCATCGTAAACGGTTATCTGCCCCTGAATTTGGGCAAATGCCGAAATTCGCCGCTACGGCGTGGCCCGTGGCAACGGTGATGGGTGTGAGCACGAGTACAGAGAGACAGAAACAGACATAAAAATAAAGATATGGATGGAAAGAGAAAAAAACAGAGAGAGAAGAGAAAGTACGTTTCACGCCATGTAGCGACCAGACACTACACCACCAGGCCAAGCAATCGTTTCCTTTCTCCATGGGGCCAAGCCACGCATGCGCCTTAACTAAGCCACGCCTACCGATGGAGACATCGCGCGCAACCTCAGCTCTGCACAGTGCACAGCCTGGCAGCGCGCGATCGTGTCCGGAGTGTGACGGGGGCCGTCTTAAAGGGGCCCTGCAACACTTTTTGAGGCATGGTCAGAAAACGCTGCCTATCGGTAGTCGAGGCTCCCTACAACACGGGAGCCAAATATTATAGCGCAGCACGCCGCCTGGAATTCACAATAAATTATAAAAGTCGGCTAAAAATAGCTTTGTCTTCTCTCGAGAAGTCACAGAAAATAAGCCCAGTAAGCCCATCTATCAGCCATTGGCCGATTTGAACATGGCGCGCTCGGGTTGTTACAGAGGTCGCCGCGAGAGGCCGTCACTTGTCCACGCGCGCGCGCTATCGCACTAAAAAAAGCCGCGTTTTCGAAGAAAAGGAAAAAAAAAAATGTCCACGTTCATGATGCGCACGTGACGTTCTTTATTTGCTCTTCCCATCCCTCCCCGCTCCGACTCCAGCGCTTTCATCGGGACCAGAGAAGAGAATGTGATTGCAGCGTGTGACAAATCTTTTGTAACTCCGCTCGCACTGGACGGATCCTTAAAATTTTTGCGTCATTAAATTTGTGAGGTAATACGCTTTTCCAGTGAATTATTTCCATGGTCACTCAAGAAAGTGTTTCAGGGCCCCTGTAAGAAATTGCGTAGAGGAAGAAGCCGTGCATCTCAAAGCCAGACGACTCGGCCTCGACAAGGGGGCATGTGAGCCTGTGCTTCACTGCGCCAAGCTTTGCGTGAATTAACTCACACATTCAAATTTTTCGTCACCATTCATGGTCTCTGCTCTTTGTCAATCCGCGCTCAAGCTGAAGAAAAAGGGGGGTACCCTTAAGCTTTGCCTTAAATAGTTTAACGCGATAGCAATGTTCAGGTACTAGTGCAGAGTAGGTACTTCAGGCAGAGTGCAGGTACTCCAGGCAGAGTATGAAATCTTTTTGAACTTGCACTGCAGTGCAGTAGCGTGTGCCTTTCGTAGTGGGTGACTTGGTTTAACCTATGAAGTCATGATAACACCATGTTCTGACTCCTGATGACAATGTACGCTTGTACCACGCATTAATACGGTGGGTGATGTTCAAAGTCGTATTGTGGCGCATGTATACAGGACGCATGTGTTAGTAAAGCATTAAAGTTACTTTCACTGCATTTCTAAGCAGAATAGGTTATTTTAATTGTATTCACAAGCAGAGGCGTGGCTGTGTGGCAGAACATCTACCTGCCTCGCAACGACCCGCGTTCGATTCCCAGACCCGATTATTAATCGCTATTTCCATCATTCTCGATTTTTCGGTCACGTGAAAATAATTTTTCGCGCACAACCAACGACGCCAACACTGCGCCAACGCCGGCATTCCCGCGAAACGAGTTCTTTAACGTTATCACGTTAAAATGAGACAGAACTCGGAACACAATGTTCGATCCAGTCAAATCGAATAGGTGATAACCCAAGCGATCCACTGACATCTTCGCGTAAACTATCACAGGCAAGTTCATCGGGAACACATCCCACGTGCAACGCAAGCAAGACACAGCAGATCGATTATTTTATAACAAATGTTTATTGTAGCGCAACCACACGCGCAGACGGGCTGTCGGGCGGTTACACCACTTCACTGTGCCATGCGCGATTGTTGGTATACAAACAGCGCCTGACAGAGGTGGAAAAAAAATCCTACATCGACAAACTCACTAATGACCAGCACTTTTTTTTTTCGAAATAACTTTTTTTTTTCCTGAATGGTATTTATGTACAGAAAACGCCACAACGTCGGCGCTGAATACTGCGCTGGAGTAGCCGCAAGTAGCCACTCCAGTTTCTAAGCCTAACTAAGTCCCACCCAGGCGTATCTACGACCCGGGCTCGGAATCACAGTAATAAATACGCGCGTCTGGAACGCGACAAAAAGTGAATAGAAATAAAAGGCGGTGTGACGCTCTCGTCACACTTAAGTGAGAAACAATTCAACGCAACAACTAACCAAACTATATAGCAGGCGCTCTAAGCAATGTACTAAAAAAAAAGTTCGCCCAACCACAGTCGCACAGTCGAGAACCAACGGAATGAATGCATTACGTCTACGACTCGAGCAAGATAAACTCCAACATAATCAGCGATACTCTAACGTCACAAATGAGTGTTAGTCTTTGTACATTGCGACAAAAAACACCATTCGCAACTTCCACCACGTGAACGGGACAAAGTCTGTACAATTGACGGAAGCAAAAAAAAAAAAAGAAAAGTAACAGAGACAAAGAAGACAGACTGTACTAGCAACAAAAGTTTCAACAATAGTTTGTGTTCACCAGGCTCGACCAAAAGAAACGTACACAATTCCTTAAGACTCTTGACGTCATGAACAGTCGTTGCACTCTCACCACACGCGCGGAACTCGAGGAACGCTATGGCACAAGAAAAAGAAAAAAAAAGTCCGTCGAACAAGGTGCTAATGCAGTCAACACATGACAGGCGCAACACACAGCACACGTTGTCCAGGCACGACACGCAATTACTATACGCAGTTCCTTGAGAAAGGTCGCATAGGCCTTCCCCTTCAAAAGTCACAGGGTTTCCTTCGGCAGTCTGTAACCGAGCACTTAAACGGTGGGCCCAGAACCCGCACACTTTAGGCACTGAAGCGAAGAAGCTCGAGCTGATGTAATCACACTCGCCACGACAGCGAATCACTAGACGCCACGACACAGCGTGGTCGGTGTCTTTTAAGTGCCCTTGATGCACACGCACACAGAGACTTGTAAAGCAGCGCACAAAAAGCACAGCACAACACACACCGCAGGCACACGAACGGCCGAGACTTGCATTACCAGCGACACCACACACACGTTTGATCACCAGACGATCACCAGACGCACCGTGGATTACGGTGCGCGAGTCCGGGTCGCGTCGTGACACTCCTTCGCAGCACGACGTCGACGCCGGGGCATATGCACTCGAACCACTACGTCCTGACGTGGTCCCCGAACACGGTTTCATTTGTTGTTCTAGCATGAAGTTAATTAATCACTAGATGCTATGAGAAAAAGCCTAAGTCTTTAAGTGCCTTGGTGGCCCTCAGTATGAGCTCGTCCTTGTACCTCCATATCGTGGTGTCCTTGACAGTGTAGACCTTGAAGTCACTGTTGCAGCTCTTCTTCAGGGGCCCCACGCAGTCCTTGCGGTAGTGCTGCAACTGCGCGTACGGCGTGTCAATGCTGTACGTGGTGCACGTCCCGAAGCAGTTGAGCGGGAAGTGGTTGTGCACGGACACGATGCGCTCCACGTTGTGGAAGCACTTGACGTACGATCCCGGCTTGGTGAAGTTCTTGGCGCGGTACACGTGCTGCAGCATGTGCATGTAACCCGGGATGCCCACCTCGTGCACGGTGTGCTTAGTTTCTTCGTTCATCATGTCGTCGAGGAAGTAGACGTTGCGGACGTTGTAGCTGGCCCTCGTGTAGTTCTTCTGCTGCAGGGCCATGGGCACGACGTCACTCATGAGCTCCTTCCAAGTGTGGTGCTGCACGGGCATGACGACCTCGTCGATGTCCAGGAGAACGATGTACTCGTAGGAGTAGAGGTTCCGGTAGAGGCAGTCGTTGTACGGAATCAGCTCGTTCTGGCGCTTGTGAGTGAGCTTCATGCTGAGGAAGTTGTGCCGCAGGCCCGGCAGGTTGGGCTGGCCTCCGGGCAATGTGATGGGCGTGAGCTCGACCAGTCCTTTCTGCTGGTAGTACTGAAGGGTCTTAGATATGTTGGGGTGAATCTCGAGTTCGTACAGGAAGATCTTCTTGGCACCCAGTATGTTAAGCAGCTCTATCCACTCGATCAGGCGCACGCTCAGGTCGTCCTTGAGGAAGTCCAGACCCTTGACGCACACGGCGAAGTCCTGCTTGACGGCCGGCCGGTTGTTCACGACGCGCACGTTGTTCGTGGGCTTGTCGCACTGCTTTTCCACGAGGGACACGCTCAGGGGAGCTTCTCGCTTCGGGTTCAGGTAGGGCGCCTTACAGGTCACGATGAAGGGCTGCAGGATGCCGTCCTGGTAGTTGCCCCACTTGGAGTACCACGCGTAGGTGTACTTGGTGGTGGATATCGTCGGGTAGGCAGCATTGTTGTACCACAGCTGGCACAGCGTCGGCGGCGGCTTCACTCTGTCAGCCATCACCAGGATGCGAACCAGGGGTACGTTGCCGACTCGTGACCTGTTGTCGAAGTACGCGCCGTAGATGTAGAATGTGCCGTTTTTAGCGGAAAGCTTTTGCCAGTACAAGTTGTTGAAGGCAATGTCGTACAGCTCAGGAAACTTGACGCAACTCTTGGAGCTGATGGCAGGCCTGCGACCGTTCTCCCAGTAGGCCCTAGGTATGTTGGACATGTTGGACAGCTTTGACAGGAACTCTTTCATGGAGACGGACGGGGATATGTCGATGTGAGGACGCAGATCGAGGAGCGCTTTTCCATCGGGCGTCGTGTCGCGTCGCGAAGCCGTCGATGACTCCAGTTTCGAGGTGGGTACGGACTTGAGCGGTTCCACGGGCACGTGATGTTCAGGCGGCGCAGCCGTCTGTAGCAACGATCTCTGAAATGGTCCGATGAGGAACGAGTTGCCGGCTCCGTGAGTAAAGTGGAACACGGCGTAGCAGACGCCTATCCAGACGAATGCTAGTAGCAGAACCCTCCGTAGGGCCTTCCAGGCTACCAGGAGTTGCTTGCGGGCCATGGTCACTGGCGTGGGTCAGGTCTTCAACGGCCTTTCCTGCGTACAACAAACACAATGAGATAAGCTCGTTGCTATAGCGGAGCGGGAGGTTGCAGTTGGAAAGCACAGCAATACTTTATCCTATAAGCATCCATATCATACACAACTAGGTCCGCGTTAACAGTGCACCACGTTTTAGACCCCCCCCCCCCCCCTGCAGGTAACTCACACACACACGCTTCAGAAGTTCGCCCCACGTTCTTCAGGCTTTCCACCACTCGCCAAGGAGACGGTGGCACCGTAATTTAGGGAGTAGGCCGGTAAGTTAGCATGGACCAGCGACCTCGCGGACTTCTAAACTCTTCGCATTGCTCCGAAAGACAGCAATCTTCAGTGAACCACACCCTGACCTATAGACAAAAGAGAGAGCCAAAAGACAGAGTTTCAACCTTTCCAAGCACGCTCCTTTGGTCTCCGACGCATTCAGAGGAGATGTTCATCACGGCTTAATCAACCACGACACAAAGACAAGGGCGAGCGACGGACGCAGCGCATACAGAGTAATCACAACTCTTCCTTTCTAACAGTTCCCCGACTTCGTTCTCTTCTTTCCTCGCAGCGTTGTTTCGAATCATTAGCTTAACAAAGCACTGCAGCACCGCCGCCTCCCAGGCTTTCAGGTACAGTTAACGGCAACAGGCCAATGAGCTAACAGCGACGTAGGGCCGAACTAACAGACAGACAGACGCACACGTACGGCACCGACACAGTAAAGGGCCGTAAACAGTCTGGCGCATACAGTCTGCTCGCGCGCATACACAACAGCCCCAGCGACTCCGAGTCGAATGTCAGAGTGCGTTGTAAATAAAACGCTAACGGCCCCGGATCCTTTACGCCGTGGTCCTCCGTAGTACGCCGCAGACTGTGCGGCGAGAGTCGTATCGGTGTTCGCTCTAGAGAAGGATGTCGCATTCGCGCCCGTAGCAACTCACGTCTGCGCGGGTCGCAATTACTTTCTCGGTGTCAACTGCGGCCGCTTGCACGCGAATGGCGACGCGTCAAGCGCATCTCCGATGCTGCGGCTGCCCGTGAACAGACTTCCGCGTAGTGCGGTAAGTGCTGCGAGGTGGCATACACCGATGCAAGAACCGCGCAAGAGTCACTCCTTTATGGCAACAAAGTGCAGCCTTAAGGAAAGTGAAGGCAAGCATCTATGATAATCAGAGTCGTGTGTAGCCATTAAAGAGCATTTTATGGCGGTGCCCATTAACCCTACAAAAACACGAGAGCTTTCATAGCACCCCTCCTTCTGGAGAGTCGCAACGCATTAGAGATATAAAAAAGTGAAAAAGGGCGATACTCATCGCTTTAACTTTGCAAATTAGGCGCGTACGCGAGAGCTGGGTTGTATAAGTGGTGCGCCGAGATCAAGATAATCGCATACAAGGGACCAATAAAAAACTCACGGCGGGTCCGTATGCAGGATCTTCGTCATTCTATAGGAATCACACACGTATTCCCACGCACGTATTTCCACATCGGCTATAGGGCGACAAGCCTCGGCAGCGGCAAGACATCCGCATGCAAGTGAGGGATTGAAAAAAAAAAAACAAACAAACGAGCGGACACTTCAGTTGGGCTGCAGCTATAGCTGTTGCGGCGTTCTGGCACCGCTGCGTAAACAGTGCTTCCATCTCCCGGTAAAGCACCATGCACGAACAGCGCTATACTGCGCATAGCAGTCGAGCATTTCAGTGATTGGTACTGCTTCCAGGTACACGCTTGTCGATCACCGAAGCTGGCAAACGGACGTGATCTCTCAGAGAATAGAGAGTTTTAGTACTGTGTATACGCTGCGTACGTGGCGGCGTTGCGTACGTAAGGACGCCACGTTCTGCGTAGTGCGCATGCGCAGACCGCAACGCGCACGTATCACATTACGTACGCAGCCGCTACGTACGCACGCATGAGATGCGTGCGTGCGTACGTATGAGGTGATCGCGCCGCTCTCGAACAAGTTCGAGACAGCGCGAGACTTCGGTTTGCAAAATGGTGGCATCGAAGGCAAGCACCGACCGGCTCTGTGGCTTAAGATATGACCATAATCTGGCTATAACACTTGGATTGGCTCACATTGGCTGTCAACAACACGTGCTTCTATTTTGATCTACCAGATAGCGCAACACGCTTCACGCTCGTTACGTACACGGGTACTACGGCGTACTAAAAGCCGATTAGTGGCAAACGACGCCACGTAACGCCAGGCGCTTGCGTGATGCGTACGTAGCACCATTCCGCAGTACTAAAACTCTCTATTGGTAACCATACGGCGATGATGCGGTCACAAGTTTTGAAGATATGCGAAGACACATAACCACTGGTCATCATGACGTCTTACGGTGACATGATTACATTATTTGTTTGCACCACTCGGGTTGACACCAGTGGACCCTTTTCGCGTTTGATGAGGCATTTACGACGTTCACTTCAATAATACTAAGCTCAAGAGGATGGCGTGGTGGACTAGCTGATAAAGCATCATGGAAGACAAATGCGTACATATAGACGGGGACGACGGAATTATACACAAGACAAGCGCTGAACCGCAACTGATGAGTGCAACCAATCAACTGCCACTCGTGAAATGTTAAACTCGGATCACGCGTCGCTGTAACACGTGAAAACAGCGTGATCTCAGCGAAAGAAATGCTGAGAAAAGATGTATGCGCTGTCTAAAAATAAGTAGTGACACCTGCTGCCGAGTGGATATACCGAGGAGGTGCTAAACGTCAATAAGCAATTTACTGATCCGATGGAATACGTGTGCGAGGCATCGTACACATACACACGTATGTGTTGAAATGGACTGCATGACCTGCATATTACCAGCCTATACTGAACTAAAGCTACCAAAGGGGTCATAATGGTTAGGGTTCCCTCGCGGCCGATTAATTGCAAGCCACCGAGAAACGATGCAAACGCTGCAGGAGACAAGTGGCACACGCGCCGACGGCGTATACAAAACGGCTTCTCACGGCATACAGGCTGATCACGGCGTCTTGCAACGTAAGGTCGCATTGTGAGATTGCATGGGGCTGCCCTATCACCTTTACCTTACCAACTAGCAGACTCAATCAAAGAACCGGCGGCAAAGATTACACGCGTGCAACCGGCAACCGTCGCCGCTCGGGCCGCAATCATGGAACTAGCAGTACGTCGGCTGCTATAGCTATAGCCTCGGGGAAGAAACAGTGTAACTTCTCGGTAGCCTAGGATTCGGCTTACGGTAACTAACCGGCAGACTAACACAACGGTGACTATCGGACCGCGCGCGGGATGTACAATTGGGTCAGGGAACAAACGGGTTTTAAGGACCTCCTTGTTTTTGCGCATATGCCATGCCTATGACAATGATTACTTTGGGCTACGAAGTAGTCAAACCACCTCTCGGCAGCTTTTTTTTTTCCCTCTATCTGTAAGATTGTACATTGTGGAAATGAAATCTGGTTTGATTTGATCTTAGTCGAAACCAAGAAGAAGAAGTGGGCATGGGCAGGCAAGTTAACCGCTGATCGTTACGAGTAACATACTGGATGCCAAGAGTAGACAAGCGCGCTACGAAGACTTCGAAAATGAGGTGGGCAAATTACGTGAATATGTTACCGGCGATGGCTTGTTAGCAGCAAACACAGGATTGAGTTGACTGGCTGAACATGGGAGAAGCGTTTGCCCTGCAGTTGGTGTGATTATGACGACGACGATGATCTCGTTTAAAACGGCAAGCTGGCGGGAGTCGAGGAACGAGAAAAGCATGGCGATGGTATTCGGTGAAAAGATACTCATAGCGATATGTTCCATTCGTAGACCGTTATAGCACCTGAAGTACCGAAATTACAGAGCGACGGTTTGTGTCGGGCATCGATTCTATACCACCGAGCGCATGAGCGACTTTTTCCGGTTACGCAGATCTCAGGCACAAATTACCTATGACCACTCATCACCGCTAGAACTGCAGGATCACCCCGAACATCGACAATCGATTCAAACGAACGCTGCTCTTCTTCTGGCGGTATACTATATCTCACATGAGACAAAAATCCATTGTCGCATGCGGTCCACTCCTATAAGACCTCCTCCAACTTCCTCTCCTAGCCCGAAGAACGAACCAGTTTCTGAAGAAGGCGTTTGATTCTGCCAAATGTGTAACTGTGCTATTCGGCTTTCTCACATCTTCGTGACTCATTAGGCCGCAACAAGTGACGGGACACAATAAATGGCAAGACAGGGCCCTTATTCTGATTTTTGTGTAGTGATACGGCGGCAATTAGTGAGTCACGACGATGAATCTCATTCACGAGGGGTACTGTAATGGCAGCCACGCGTGGCGGTAACAGAAAGGAACAGCAAGGAACCCTGGCATACGAACTGTGCTAACCAACTCCGAATTTCCGTGCACTGGTGTACTCAGCGATTCTGGTGTACTGGTGTACTGGTGCACTGGTGTACTGGTGCACTGGTGCACTGGTGCACTGGTGCACTGGTGTACTGGTGCACTGGTGTACTGGTGCACTGGTGTACTCAGCGATAACAAGCCCGCCACGGCATGCGAGCGACCTTGCGCTTCATTGAAGTGAACTATTTATAAGATTTACGCTGTTATTGGTAATCGATGGTTATAATGATGCCTGCGGTAACTCCCCCCCCCCCCCTTGCTATTTTACTAAAGAGATATCGAAGGATAACGACAAATCACCTAAAAAAATTGAAGCACGAAGACCGCAAAAGACATGGTTACTTGGGCCAGCTATATATAGCTCCTCCTCGTGTATCGCTGCACTGGGGCAGCATGGGTTCGCGGTAAGGCGATGACTGATCCACGCTCACCCGCTCAAAAAATAACCGCATTCACGGGGACCGGAGGTCGGCGCCCCAAACGATTTCATCTGCGACTAGAGTATAAAGTTGGACGTGTTGGTAAGACGTAATATAACGTAGCGCGTAAAACAATGTGAGACACAGGACAGGACCCCTCATGTCCCTTCCCTTGTCCCGTGTAT